TATTGCTCCATATTCTTTGCTTGGTTTCTTGCTTGTTCTTTGCTGATTCCTCGTGTCTCTAGCATTGATGGTATGTGTCCATACCATCTCAGTTCTTCAATTTTCTTAATAATTGGTTGGACCTTAAGATGTTCTCTGATTGCCTCATTTCTAATCCTGTCTAACCTGGTTATACCCATAATTCTTCCAAGAAACTTCATTTCTATGCTCTGTATTTTCGATTTTAATTTATCAGTAAGCGTCCAACTTTCACTACCAAAAGTTAAAATCGGCATAAACACCGTCTTGTATATGGTCACTTTGGCTTTTTGGGACACTTCTTTTTTCGACAAAAACGTAGTTTTAATTGCGTGGCACATCCGAGCACTTTCTATTCTGGAACTTATTTTAGTTTCTTCAGTTCCTCTGTTCTCTATTTGTACTCCCAAGTATTTGTAAGTATCGACTTGTTCAAGTGTATTTCCGTTAGTGTTATCTTCGTTTGTTTTTTATTTTTTTCACATACCATTACTTTCGTCTTCTCATTATTGATCCTCAAATTTCGTTTAATTAGTGCAGCGTTCCATACTTGTAAATTTCGATTTAGTGCTTCTTTATTTATCCCAAATATCACTAGATTGTTTGCGTATGCACACTCTACATTCTCGTTTATAATAATTATAAATCATATAATTGTCAGTTTTTGTTATTTTATCAGTTATTGTTCGAAATAATATATATATATATATATATATATATATATATATATATATATATATATATATATATATATATAAAAATACGTTATAGTAGAAAATAGTTTAAAATAATGTGAATTTTGCTTAAAAAGTAACGAGAATGCGCACTGAACGAGTAGGTAAGAGTATTGCTGTATTGTATAACTAATATTGCTTTCCTATATTTGAAGGGGGTTGGGAGAAAACCGTGGACGTTTTCACTAAATGATTGAAATTTAGTTGAATACGCCGCGCTGTCTTGTAGATATTCACAAATACTATCGCACCATTCTTTTAAATCGTTAGAAAACTATGAATGTTCATAGGTTTTAAGACTTTTAAATTGACCGTCTCGTGAAAAAACGACATTTGTCCACGCGTTATTGGGAGAAAACAATGATTGTCACATCCAAGCAATATCGCTTACCACTCTGTGTTATTGTTATACAGTATTGTTTATTGTTCAGAGTTCAATATAATATCTTATATTGACTAATAGTGAAAAGACTGATAAAAATTTTTAAAAAATGGGTAGGATATACGAGGTTATGAAGAAAATAAGGTAACGAATTTGGTGTGTTTTGCAAATGCAAACGGCTAAAGTGCGTCGAAAAAGTAAGTGATAAAAACAAGAAACGTATTCTAGATTATTTCAACTGATTATTATGCATGACGCAGCAAAATTTATACTTTTTTTCATTGTTTCATGACTGAAGTTATATGTACAGATTACGAAAAAAAGCCAGATAGGGACGATAATGATGATTCAATAACACAAAATATTATAGAAATTCAAGTTTGTGTTAAGTTTTTTTTTCACTACACGGGATTACTGCAAATAAACTTCAACATTTACAGAAATTGTTAAAAAGGACAGGTTTTGCACCTAAAGATAGAAGAGGTGGAAAAATTATAGAAAATTAAAGCAAGATATTCTAGAAACTGTTCGTTCACGTAATGAATATTTTAAAGCACGCCAAAGTCATTACAGCCTACGTGAAAAGAGAGAAAAATAAAAGCTGCTTGGAATAGTAATGAACTTTCTAACTTCACAATTGCTCGGAAGCTTCATCTATGTAATGCCCAAATCTTTTGTGATAGGAAAAAGTCAGACAAAATAAAAGTACGAACAGATGCGACATTTGAAGGGATAACTTTAAACTATAAAAAACATTTAACTGCCTAATATTACAACGAATAATATATATTATCTCTTCAAAATTTGCATATCTATTGTAATGGTACTGGTGGACAAAATAATACAATAAATATTTATTCACTACTTGGTAACTGTTGTTACCACATAGTGAAGTGAAGTAGTGTTAATATAATGGAAGTTCCTTTAGATTGAAAATGACATATATCCAATTCTGGCGTAAAACCATAACAATTTTTTGTCAACTTAGTAACTCAAGATCTTGTTAAAAAGTCGATCAAATTTTTTACCAATAGTTATTTGAAGAAATGCCCTTTAGTAATACAAAATATTAAAGAAATATTGTTCTAAGATCCAAAGATCCAAAGAACCAAAAAAAAACAAAAACAAAGCAGGACTAATACTATGACTAAACGCCTGTACTTTGGTCGTTAAAAAGTGGGCATTAAGCCACTAATTTTTATTTTTTTAAAATCAATTTGACTTTTATTCTTTGTTTACATTAGTTTATATTATCAATAAATTTTTCTATCAATATGTTTTTTTTTCAAACATTTTTTTGTCGTAAATAGTCTTATAACTTTAAAATTCGTTTTTCTCAAAATCATTTCTTGATGACATCCATGATTTTCTGCCGACACCCTTCATTTATGAAATTATAAGGGAAAGGGAGAGTGGGGCAAGTTTAGACAAATTTCGTATTTTAATTTTTGCCATTTTAGTTTAGATTTTTTTCCTATTAAAAACGTTACGATATGATATTTTCATATGTTGCCAATTTTTCAAAGATATTAACTTTTTGGTTGAATTGAAACTCTTTGCAAAATTGACATTTTTGTATAATGGTACAAAGTGTATCAATGTCCCCACATGCGGGCAAGTTAATATTAAGTAAGTATTTATATAAATGTTAAGAAAATTGATTTTAAGGTAGAAATTAATCGCTCAATAGAATATTTAAATAATTTAAGTATTTAACAAAAAAAAAGTACAAAATTGAAAAGTAAAATATATTACTGATATTATTCGCACAAATTATGAGTTTTTTGTTCAAAACTTAGTCTTTAAAGTCAGAGGTACAATGAATACAAATGTACTTATACTGTCTTTGCCACATTTAATATGGGCCCATTGTTTACATGACATACACTGTATCCATATCTTGACCACGTATGGATTTGGAGTAAGGCTCTTATCCTCTTCCTCAGACTCAGATTCAACCTTGATCATTTTCTTTGCTGCAATTCATTTTTTTTTCATCTTCTCCTTCGTGCTAATCTTGACCATTTTAATTAACTTTTTTATCCTTTTTCTATTGCAACATTTTTTTGGCTTCTTTTTTATTCAACTTCATTTCTAGCCTTGTATTTAATGAAGTGCTTGTAAAAATGGTCGCTTTCAAGGGATTCTTGCCTTTTTTTATTATTTTTCCTCTCTTCAGCTTTTATGTAGGAACGAATTTGTTGAAAACTCACCGTGAACATGTTTGTGTATAGAAACATTTTTACTCGTAAAATACGTGTTCTTGTGACTGTATATTCTCAACCTTGATAGTCCAGCCGAGGTAGTTTCGACAGCGCTGTTTTTAATAGTCATCTCTTTATTTGTAATTAAGCTCGACATGAAGTCAGCATCAGTAAACATGTCTTTGTTGTAGGGCACGAATCCTCTGGCTTGAAACACAGAAATAATGTTCATAGGATTTATTGATCTGGACAGTGCAAATTTCACAATGCCAGGAATATCGCAAATTGTCACAGCAATGTGAGAATAACATAACGATACCATTTTCATTACAAAACTTTAGCACATCAATAAAAATATGTGATTCACAGTGTTCAAAAATTAACAAACAAGATTGGTCTTTTTTTAGATCTCACACGGTCTTGAAAATGTTAAACTTCAAAAATGATTCGGATGTAATGCATTCCGATGGGTAGGAAGTTCTGATGCAGCCTGGTGTTCTGTTGTTGATGAAATGGTCTTTAAAAAATACTTGTGGAAAAAGGAACAGCGGAGGAACCGAATTTCATATGGCGCTGATAGCGAAGACCATAGTAACTATAGTCATAGTGAAAAGACAGCAAATATTTGATTTCACGCAAAAAGCGCCTTTGAATCTGTTGATACGCATTTCGACCTAATAGGTCTCATCAGAACCAGGTGTTCTCAACTGAGAACACCTTTGAATAACTGTTCTGATGAGACCTATTAGGTCGAAATACGTATCAACAGATACAAAGGCGCTTTTTGCCTAAAATCAAATATTTGCTATCTTTTCACTTTTTTCGGATTTACTCTGTACGATTACTAAAAACCAATTCGCTAAGGATGTCTGCTTAGTTGATAAGACGTGTCGTTTAATGCAAATTTTAGATTCCCCACGTCTCTTTTAACACCTTTATCAACGTCTGTTTTGCTTTGCAATTTTTAGAAAGCACAGATTAAAGCGGAAATTTGAATTGTATTTTCGATAAAAAAAATTAATATAAAGTGTAATTTTTTTAAAGTTCGATGAAAACAACCCTATTTTATTATCACATAATTATTATATCATATTTTATAATTTATTTAAAAACCAAAAATGTTTGGAAAAACGGTTATTAATAAATTTTTTAAAAATCATAAAATCAGACAATATGGAAAGTTGGTGTTGCTGTCGTTATTAAAATGATCCTAAACAATATAGCTAATTATCTACGAATAGCTTCAAAATAAAATACAGAGTTTTTTATTAAAAAACATACCTTTGATGCGGTCCAGTGTTATGAAAGACCCTGTATGTGTGTAACTAAATTTTAAATAATAAACTTACCGCTACCTTCTTTTTTTGTACATAACTTTTGGTATTTCCTATAATAGCAGATATAAAGGTCACAAGTTGATATCTCTGTATATAAATTGTTCTTATGAAGTGGTCTTGAAAAGAAACAATTTTAATGACGGATATTTCCGTTAATTTATAAATAAGTGCTTAAGCAGAACTGCAGTAGAAATTAATAGCTTTCGCATTAACTCATCAAATAATTAAAATATATTACTAATTCATTTGTAATTAAAAATCGCAGCTTAATCAATAAAATCGTTAGGAAATTATTACCTGAAAGTTATCGTTTTAATTGTTTCAGTATGCTGCAGGAACCCTGACGAATATTTAAAGTCCGGCACTGGAATTAATAAACTTAAAATGCCAACAGAAGTTGACAAATGCTACTACTACATTCTTATTTTAAATTATGTTATTGCTATGTCTTAGTAAAAATAAATTTTTAAATATGAAAATATATGATTTGTTAATATTTATAAATATTATTACACTATTAAAAACTGTTATAGCTTATCGTTTTTTACCGTTGCTCGTTATTTCGACTGTAGGTAAGAAATACTGCGACTATAACCCCAGCACCAATATAAGGGAAGTGATGGGGACTTTTGCGGAATATATTGAATTTTACAAAATACCTGCAAATCTTCTGATGCGAGAAGTTAACCCCTTGGGTTTGGTTCCCGATGATATAATCGTGAACGCGTTGGCTTATCAGGTGCAGTACTCGGTGTCTATATTTCAAAGGACTTTTGAAAAGAAATTCTATAAGTAAAAATATTAGTTCAAAAATATTTCTTTCGCTTTTTTTTGGTTTTTTGCTCGATTATAGTTTTATCAATCAATAATAATGTTTTTATTTGGTAACACTATTGTTGATATTAGAATTATTTGAGCCAAATATTATTGTCCTATATAGAAATTTGATTAAACTGCAGGAGGCAAATGTTAAACGATGTTTACCCCGTACTCATTAAAGACCAAATTTTAGCTAACAATAATCTTTATTGCATACCATACAGAAGTTTAAAATTATTAAAATATGATGAAATGCAACGAAAGATTGCTGACTAGCCGAGTCACCGCAACTTCGACATTGGTCAGAAAATCCATTCTAATAATGTTTAAAGGGTCTATCCAGTTAAGACCCCCAAAAAATGCCTCCAGCGATATTTCAAAAATAAAAATACCAAATTGTTCATTATGAAAAAGTATCCAAAAAAATTTAACACCCACAGACGTAAACATAACTTCCAAAAAAATTAAAACGTGTTTTTTGGATTTTTGACGATATTTTCAGTTCTAATCTTAAACAGAAACAGAAACTTATTCTTATTTTCAATTTTTAGGATATTTTATTGTCTATATCATACTGATTTTTCAAAATTTTTGGCAATTCGTAAAATTTAAATTTTTAAACGCGTTTAAAATTAAAAAAAACTGTCTTGAATGCCACTTCAATATACATGGTGGTCCTTAAGTAATTGTAGAAAAAGAAACTGCAGATTCTCCACTTTAAAGTATTAGGATTTAAGCCAACTTACTTTAATAAAATATTGAAATTAAGAAAGATGCAGGGTATTAAAGTGGAAATTTAAAATTTTATTTTTGCTATAACTTTTATGTTTGTAAACATTTATGTATAAAAATTTACAACTGGATTTTAACAAAAAAAAGGTATACTTGTTAATAACGTCAAAACTCAACAGTTTTCGAGATAATAACATTTTACAAATCAACTACATATTTCTGTTTTAACGCAATTACTCCAGGCAACGAAAGAAAAATAGATAAAAACATCAAAACTTTTGAATTTTATTATAAAATACCTTTAATAAAGTTAATAGTTAACGAAATATTATATAAAATAAATATATCAGCAGGATAATTAATAATAGGTTTGACAAAATAACAATATAATTTTACATCAACTATTTTATGTTTTATATTAAAGTCATAATAAAAACATTTTATTTATAAACCAAATTAAAAAATAATTACACTAAATAACATTAAACATTTTGCCAAAGTAAGTGTTCGATATGTCCACTATTTCCTTTAATTTATTTTGTCAATACATTTCATAAAAGTTTATTTAAAATTCATATTTAAAATGCATGTCGTATGGTTTGGCATCGGTAATTATTTTTGTATGGATATGCAAATTACCTCGTAATTTGAATGGTAAGATTTATTTACATTTTTTATAAAATGAATATATTGATTTATTGGAAGAATTGTCATCAAAATTAAGGCGAAATATGTCGTTTATACAACATGGTACACCATTACATTACAGTGAAAGGGGAGTGAGAACAGTATTTAAATACAACTTGAATGTTGGATTGTTCGTGGTAGTAATATTCCTTGGTCATATGGTGAGATAATAATATAGTTATTTAATTCATAAAAATTCCAAAAAATGTCTTATTAATATACTTATAACAATTATAATAAATACTGCAGCAGTTTCTTTAGAACCAATGATGCTAGTTAATATGAAACGATCTTTTATGGAATGTATTGACAAATTAATTAAAGAAAATGGGGGACATATCGAACACTTTGACACTTTGAGAAAAAGTTTAATGTTATTTAGTTTACTTATTCCTTAATTTGGTATGTAAATAAAATGTGTTGATTATGACTTTCATTTAATACAAAATGTAGAATGTTTGATATAAAATCCAATTATTCTGTTATTTTGTCAAATCCAATTATTAATTATCCTGCTGGAATATTTATTTAATTTAATAATTCGTTAACTATTAACTTTTTAAAATGTATTTTATACCAAAACTCAGAAGTATTGATGTTTTTATCTATTTTTCTTTCATTTCCTGGAGTAATTGCGTTAAATCAGAATTATGTAGTTTATTTGTAAAATGCCATTATATCGAAAACTGTTGAGTTTTGAAGATATTAACAAGTATACCTTTTTTTTGTTAAAATAATGTATCTTTAATATGTTTTATCAAAAATACCGGCAAATTGAGGAACATAAAAGTTAAGTGCAAATGTATACCACATATGTGGCATATGTGGCACCTCTATCAGCTACATCAAAATATGTATCAAATTATAATTTCTGATATTTAATAGTACTTCGTTGTAAATTTTTATAAATAAATGTCAACAAACATGGAAGTTATAGCGAAAAAAAAAATTTTAAATGTCTACTATTACACTCTGTACCCTGTTAATAACAACATTTTATTAAAGCAAGTTAAGTTACATCGTAATATTTTCAAATGTAGATTCTGCGGTTTCTTTTTGTACATAGATTTTTTTGTACTGATACTTTGATACTTTTTGTACGTAGATTCTACACTTTAAAATAATACGATTTAAATCAAATTGCTTTAATAAAATGTTGATATTAAGAAAGATACAGGGTGTTAAAGTGGAAATTTAAAACTTTACAACTGGGTACTATTACACATCAGAAATTTTAATTTGATGTATACTTTGATGTAGCTGATAGAGGGCGCCACATATGTGGCATACATTTGGACGTAACGTTTTTGCTCTTCAAGCTACCGGTATTTTTAATAAAAAAATAATAATAATAAAAATTATTTAAACAAAAAAAAGGTATAGTTGTTAATATCTTTAAACCTCAACAGTTTTTGAGATAATCGCATTTTAGAAATTAACTACATAATTCTGATTTATCGTAATTACTCCAGGCAACGAATGAAAATTAAAGAAAAACATCAATACTTCTGAATTTTGTTATAAAATAGCTTTAGTAAAGTTAATAGTTCATGAATTAATAAATACAATAAATATATCAGCAGGATAAAATAATAGGATTTGATAAATAACAGAATAATTGGATTTTACATCAAACATTTTACGTTTTGTATCAAATTAAAGTCATAATCAAAACATTAAATTTACAAACCAAATTAAGAAATAGTTAAACTAAATAACATTAAACTTTTTGTCAAAGTAGTATTTATTATAAGTTTTATAAGTACAATATTATATAATTTTTTTGAAATTTTTCTGAATTAAATAATTATATTAATATCTCACCACAAGAATATGACTACCACGAACAATCCAACGTTTAGGAAAGTTGTATTTAAATACTGTCTCACTCCGCTTTCTCTGTAATGTAATGGTGTATAATCTTGTAGAAACCACATATTTCGCCTTTGTTTGATGACAATTTTTCCAATAAATCCATAAAATCATTTTATAAAAAATGTAAATAAATCTCACCATTCAAATTGAAAGGTAATGCGCATATCTTACTCGAATAATTCTAATTTGTATTTTGAGATGTAAGTTGCGAACAACAATTTTCGTTTTATAAAACATGTATATATTTTGCCTTTCTTAATTTTAAGACATATAGACCAAAATTTTAATTTTCAATAAATTAGGATTTTTGTTAATATCCTTTTTTCTTTTTTTATATATTATATATATATATATATATATATATATATATATAATATATATAATATATATATATATATATATAATATGACTCGTTTTGAAATGTTAGCTGTTCTTCTGTCTGATTGATATTTATTATAAGGTTATTGCGCCATCTCATTAAAAGTCTTCTTTGTCCATCCCCAGGTCTCCATTTTCTGTTTTTCCTTCCGTTTCTTTTTTAATTTCTGACATCTTTTCGAATCGATTTTGTGATATCTTTGTTTAACTATCAAAATTATCTGTGTATTTGTCTTTCAATTATCTTCTTTTGTTTATTAGATCTTTAGTAGCTTGAGTGAGTTTATCCATCTTGATTTAATCCTTTTTCCTTATATTTTCTATAAGCTTTTCGAATCACACTATTTATTCGCATGTTTGTCACCTCTATATCTAATGTATTTTCATTTAGATCTTCTACTTCTTTCAGTTCTGAAGTTATGAGATTCTGATAAGGTACTCTATCTTCTATCAATATCCATTTATTAAAATGCCTCTCTGATATCATTGCTGTCCTCTCTGGTCTAATGTTGATCATTATTTTTGCTCTAATCAACCGATGGTCACTCCCAACAGTGATTTTATTAATTACTGTAACATCTTGGATAATATCTTTTCTGTTTGTGATGATAAAATCAATTTTGCTTTTTGTTATGTCATCTGGACTAGCCCACGTCCACTTGCGTTGTTGGTTCTTTTTGAAAAATGTGTTCATCACATAGAGCCGATGATGCAATAAAAAATGTAGTAGCACACCTCCTCTATCATTTCGCTCACCGTATCCAAATGAGCTCATAGCCACTTCTGCATTATCTTCTTTAAATCCACGTTTAGCGTTAAAATCGCCCATTAAGATTAGGTGGTGGCTTTATCTTTTTCTATAACTCTATTTATATCTTCATTAAAGTTTTCGATTTCTTCATCGCTATGGCTCGTCGTGGGTGCATATACTTGGATAATTTTAATAG